ACTACTACTACTACTACTACTACTACTACTACTACTACTACTACTACCACCACCACCACTACTACTACTACTACTACTACTACTATTACTACTACCTTCCTCCCTTTCCTGACACTCCACGTATGCAGCAACATACACCGGTGCACGTGGACGATTGCCGTGGGGGAATACCAACAACTACAAAAACAACAACATTGAAGTCTCACCCGTTTTACGTGAAGTGGCGTAATACTCCGTGAAAAAAAGCGATATTCGCGATATTCAGTAGTCGTAAAATATATTTCTCACTGGTGTTTTTCATATCACTAGGGTGAAACTCCATCCATAAACCCCAACCACAAATACGGTCGATTCAAATTCCAGTGCTGGAGAAATATGTGTTTGATTTTCTCAAAAGTTTCCACACTAATTATAGAAATTTACGCGTAAACTTCGGCAAAAGTGTACAAAAATCAACAAGACTTTCTCAAAATTTTCATATTGCCACCAACACACCTAATTCACCATGTGCATATTTCTCCACACTGTAAAACTCAAATCCTTTTCTCGCTTCGCTCCGCCATTTTTATCAAACTCACCTTAAAAGTAAAAGGTCCGGCCGTTAGCGGCGGTGACCTAATAGATTCAAGTGCTGGGAACTTGGCAATATCGGCAATCTTGAATTCGAGTTCATTCGGCGAGCAAGGGGGTATACGATCTGAACAAAAGATGGTATGAATAATCTCCTCCGCAGATAATGGAAAATAAAATCATCGAATATACTACGACCGATATATTATAAACTCTATGAAACAAAATTTACGTTTCCATTGACGATTTATGACTTGAGAAATTTCAATTCCGACACTTCGGAGAACCACAAACCGCCGAAAAAACAAGTCCGCCAACGAGGAAAAATTGAAGCCGGTCGAGTTGCATAAAACTCAACAACAATTACCCCAGCGCATTTCTAAGAGTTTCCAAAATTCGAAATTAAACTTTTCCATTCCAAACAAGTCCATCGGCAAAAACCTAGTGCTAAAAATATCAAAGACAACACGCCGATGAATTCCAGTGATAATATTCACGGAAAAAAATCACCAAAATTTCCCCATTTTCCAATTAGTCTCATTCCCCTCAACATCCAAAAATTCCAATACACGATTTGGACCTAATCCGTATCATACCACCCTGAACCTAAGATTCTCCCTCTTATTACTAGCAGTATAATCGTTGCTGATAGGACTTTTTCCACTGCTCGCTCGGGAGGCCGGAGATGAATCTTCTGGAGTCTCCGATGACGATGGGGATCTTCCACCACTCAAAATTGACATTTCAAAAATGACCACAACAGAACAGGAAATTCAATTTCGTCCATCTCATCAGCGCTAGCAAAAAATGGCAGAAAAATGCCCCTCCCTAGAATCGAACCCGGGTCGCCCAACCCCAGAACCAAACCAATTTCGAATTGTCCACGACTACCCACACAAGAACTATCACGGGAGAGTCGAAACGTTCGTACACCAGAAACGATCGTTCGAATAGACGTAAAACTGCCACCGGCCGGGATCGAACCTGTGCGGGTCCTCATACCCCGGGTTGCCGCGAAAGAGCTAGCAGCAACGCGTCTCGATATATTTTCTTCGCAATCGCCCTATGTTCTCCATCATCCTGATTCAGGAAATTATCCATCATCACACCACAATTAACCTGCCGAAAATCGCAATAAAAGAATCGCTTCGCTCCGCCCTGTACTACTTCCAATATCCTCAAATCTGAATTCCCAAGTTCAACAATATCAACACTGCAGAAATCAATTCCAATCGCGTTCGTTGCCTCAGTGGCGAGTCGAGAAATCTGAAAAGGAAACAAAAAATTACCAACAAAAAACTGTCGAAAAATTTCATTTTTTCCCGGAAAAAATTCTTCTCGGAAGATAATTTTCCAATACTATTTTGGAAAATTTTCGTAATGAAAATTCATACCAAAATTTTCAAAATTCGTCAAAATTATTACTTTTTCCCATAAACTCGTGCCCTTTTCGACCAACTTTGCCGTAGCGCCCAACCCGAGATTATGTTTCCATTGAAGTGGTAGTGTTTCCCCTTCCTTAGGAATCCACTTCGGATCTTCCACTGCTGATAAACAATCAGCAATACTCTGAGAGAGAAAAAAAACTATCAAAAATTTTCACAAAAAATTTTTCCCACTTGTGCGTTTTGTTTCGTCAACTTAGATGCACACAATTCTGTGATCGTGCGGATACCGTCCCCTACGAGGGCCATCCTTTTCTTACTATACACCAACATAGGTTGTCGATGTGTGCAAACAACTCGATATTCGTTGATGATATTCAGAAATGGGGAAACTGCCAGACCATACCTAAGGTTACTTATAGAGGAAAAAACCCTAAAATTTACCACTACTCGCGGCTGAAAATCGTCAT